TGGTATAATGGTATGTGCTGCCTCAGTGTTTATAAAAAATGAGAAAATTACTTTTGCTTCAATCTACAGACCTCCTAATGTTAAGACTAGTTATAGTGATTGGATAAATATAGTAAATCAAATTCCTTCGCCATTTTTTATATTAGGTGATTTTAATGCCCATAGTAAGGTATGGGGCTCTCAAAAAAATGACCTTTTGGGAGAACAAATACTACGTGTAATTGATGACACTAACCTAATAATTTTAAACAATGGATCGTCTACTAGAAAAACCCGCCCCAATGAACTGGATTCTGCTGTTGACATCAGCTTTATCTCACCTGATTTAGGATCACGGGTTAATTGGATTATTGAAAATGACTCTCTTGGGTCAGACCATTATCCCATTTTGATTAATCTTGAATCAAAAAATCTCTTACCTATCACAATAAACCCCAAAGTCAAATGGAATACCAAGAAAGCTAAATGGCTTGACTATACTATATTTATAGAAAACCGCTTTTTGAATAGCCTCATACCACATACGACGGAAGAAAAATATAAATTTTTAATTAGTACGATAAACGATGCAGCAAAGCTATACATTGCGGTTAATAAATGCAGACCATATACTAGACCACCCCCTCCGTGGTGGAACCCCTCCGAATGTGACCCTGTCATTCAAAAAAGGAAAAATGCACTTCTGCAATATAAACAAAAACCATCTCTAGAAAACTATATATTATGCTCCAAGGTCGAAGCTGAAACTAAAAAATTTCTCAAACAAAAAGCTAGAAATTCATGGGTCTCATTTTGCTCCAATTTAAATAAAAACACAAATTCAACCGAAATATGGCAACAAGCTAGAAAAATGGCTAGGCAAAACATTAAGTTAAAACCTTCCTCTAATATTTGGTTAGAGGAGTTTTTTGATAAAGTTACTCCTCCTTTAGTTAGGAAGGAACCCAAAAATGTTAATCTGAACTATCCTGAAAATCATTTCTTATGTCGGCCTTTTAGTCTGGATGAGCTTGAGTGCTCACTTAAAACCACACGCAATACAGCTCCTGGAATTGATGACATACAGTATATCATGCTCTACAACTTACCCCACATTGCCAAGGTTACTCTACTTGACATTTATAATGATATATACTTACGTGGCAAAAAAATTGAAGAATTTGAGCACGTTGTAGTAGTCCCCATACAAAAACTGGGTAAAAACCCCGATCTAGGCAGCTCCTATAGGCCTATTTCCCTGTTATCTTGTGTGCTTAAAACCTTTGAAAGGCTTATTAAGTATAGATTGGAATTTTGGCTAAAAAACAAATGCCTCTTACCACCTAATCAATACAGTTATAAAAAAGGCTTTGGCTCCTTAGATGCTGTTGCACACATAACTACAGACATTCAAACTTGTTTTTCGTCAAACGATTATCTTGCTGGCCTATTTTTAGATATTCAGGGTGCTTATGACTCCGTAGACCTAGATATTCTTCAGGTCAAACTTATTAATCAATTTCTAATACCGGAAAATATAGCACAATCTATTGTGTCACTATATCGTGTAAGGCAAATTTATATCAGAAATAATGATAATGAAAAAATTGGACCAAGATTTGTCTATGATGTAGGGCTACCTCAGGGGTCGGTTTTAAGCCCCCTCCTGTTCAATATAAACACTGCAGATTTACATAACATACTTCAATCATCCAGCATTATCCAATATGCTGATGATTTTTGTGCCTATAAAGTATGTAAAAAATATGAACAGTGTACTAGCAGTATACAAATGTTATACCGTCAAATATCTAAGTGGGCTCTGCTAAATGGTTTCAACATATCATTAGAAAAATCTAATGCATGCATTTTTACTCGACATAATACCCCTATAGTGAATTATGTTTATGTAAATAAAGACATTAGAATTCCATGCACAAATCAAGTAAAATACTTGGGAATAATTTTAGACAAAAAACTTAGCTGGAAAGATCACATTGATAGCATAGTTATAAAATGCGAAAGGGGTTTAAATTTCCTAAGATGTGTCACTAAAACTTGGTGGGGATGTGATGTTAAAACGGCTTTAATTTTTTACAAAAGTTATATAAGATCCATTATTGATTATGGGTCCTGTTTCTATGGATCGGCTGCCAACAGCTTACTTCAAAAAGTAGATCGCATTCAATATAAAGCTCTACGCATTAGCCTGGGGGCCATGCGCTCTACACCCATTAGAGCTCTTTTAGTTGAAGCGCTAGAGCCTCCTCTTGAGTTGAGGCGCATCATGATTAGTGCAAAGTTTCTTTCAAAGCATAAATTTTTAAACACAAATTTGGTGGACAAAGTAATTAAACTAAACATTCATGATTTGACAAATAAATACTGGCAAAAAAAAAGATCCCCTCCACTCTGTGAGGCGTTTCGAGAATTGCAACCAATATGGGAATTTATAGTGCCTCTAGATTTCTTTGATTATGATTATAAAAGTTGCATACAAAATAAGTCAATTAGGTATCCCCTATTTACTGACAATCCTGCCATTAATAAAAAGTTAATTAAATCAGAACTAATGAAATACTCTACATGTATACATATATACACGGACGCCTCAAAATGTGCTGAAGGAAATGGTGCAGCATTTTATATTCCTAGCTCAGATATAAAACGTCAGTTCTCTATTAACACACACTGCAGTATATTTACCTCAGAGGCTATTGCCATCAGGGAGACACTTAAATTTTTGTTAAGTAGTAAATCCAATGATTTTGTTATTTTGTCCGATTCCATGTCTGTACTTCAAGCAATTGAAAATAGATATTCATGGTCTTATAAAATAAATCCTGTCATATGGGAAATAAAAAAATTGATTTATCGCCTATCCCTTTTAGAAAAGAATATTAACTTTATATGGGTTAAAGCCCATACAGGCATACCTGGAAATGAAATTGTAGACCAACTTTCCAAAAAAGCGGTCACCCATGGCATTCCAGTACAAGATAGCTTATGTCCTACTGATCTTGTCGTAGAAATAAAAAGAATTATAAGTGATAAATGGAATCTGATGTGGGAAAAGATTTGTAAAGAATCCCCTACAAGCTATTGTAGATTAGTCACAACTATACCTTCTAAATACTGGCACGACACACTTAATGTTTCAAGGCGTTTTTTGACTACAATAATAAGAATGAAGTTTGGACATGCTTGTTTTCCAGCTCATTTAAATAAAATTCATGTCTTAGAATCTGATAAATGTAGCTTTTGTAACACAACTGGTGATTTAAATCACATTTTTTTAGAGTGTAAACAATACAGTCATGAAATTGACGAACTACTGTATAAACTTAGGATAGAATGTAATGTGGCTTGTCCCCTTAATATTACGCACTTACTGGCACTTAACAATGTAAAAGTATTAACGGCTCTTATGAACTATCTTAGTAATATTGGTCTAAGTATTTAAGTGTAGTATGGTACAATAAATAGATTAGGATTAGTTAGGTTAAATAGATTCCACTACTCCCTTTATGTGAATACCCTTTCAATCCGTGGTCTATTCTTGTGTTGTCAAAAAAAGTCGCCCTGATGGACCCCAGAGGCGTGAAAAGAGTGTCCCAGTCTGTGTCCCTTTATGTCTGATTATTGTAGAAATAGTATACTTACTAATGGAAGTAGTTGAGACATATATTTTATCTATGTATATACTTATGTATGACTTATTTCATATTATAAAAGTATCAGTCGAAACAGCTCTCGTACTCAAATAGGTTAGAATATTTTAAATTTCTGAGATTTTGGTATGTAGATTGAAGCAAATAACTATATTTGTTGGGAAAAAAAAAAAAAAAATTAAAAAAAAAAAAAAAATAAATATATAAAAAAAAAAAAAATATATTTTTTTTTTTTACAAAACTAAGCGTATATGTCTTAGTTTCAAAAATTGCAACTGGCTGTATGGTAAAGGCCGCATGCCAAAAAAAAAAAAAAAAAAAAAAAAAAAAAAAAAAAAAAAAGATGTAAGTTGCACGAGGCGGCAGTCAACTTTTAGGTTATGTAAATGGGGCTCGGAGAAAAAAGCGCCAGAAATTGGGGGCCCGTTATACTGGTCAGTTCAATAGCTGTATCAGACCAGTCCCTAGACCTGTATAGCTGTATCTGTATTCAGGTCTGTACCTGTCTAGCTGTATACAGACCTGTCTCTAAACCTGTCTATCTGTATACAGACCTGTCTCTAGACCGGTATAGCTGTATACAGACCGGTATAGAGACAGGTCTGTATACGTCTGTATACAAGTCACGAGGTACTATGTGTGTTCGATGAGCCGCTTCGAGCCAGGTATGGTCAATGACCCTGAAGCAGCAGCGACTGACCAGTTAGTGCGACCGATGAAACGGGCATTGGAAAGGGGCGGGGCATAATACTAGAAATTCATTGAAATTTTACTCCCACTCCAAAATGGTACGAAAAATTGCAGAATGGCCCTTAGATTTTCTTATAGAGATTCACATGTAAAAATGACCAATTTTGCGCTAGAACCCGTATTGCACCTTTACTTACGTGGAATATTTCTACCTACTTTCGGTACTGGGATGACTCTTGGAACTCGAATCTTTTTGGGTCCACCCATGTATAGACCTATAAACTGATTAATTATTATCTTTTTTAACAATCTTGTCACTCAAATCGTCTCCAAAATTGAATGTTAAACGCTTCACTAGTTTCTTTATTGAGTATCTGAAAGCTTTTTACTGTCTCAAGTTTCCATTTATCCGCGCGGCTAGACGGGCCTAAGCCTAATTTATTAAAGGTTCGGAGCTAATCTAAATTCAACATACTTTCAAAGTCGTTAATCCGACATCAATACGTCTAGCGGTTATTAAAAAACACATTTTTCTCTCATTTGCTTAATTTTCTATAAAAATATCCTTATCGGATTCTTTATTCCGTCGCAGTGGCTAACTTAATTAATAAAAATGCAAATGTGCACTACTAAACCAAACTAAAACAAACTGTTTTGCAGGTGGCCTGGTTGCGGGTCGACACGCAAACGATCCTGACCATTCAAAATCACGTGATTACGAAAAACCATCGGATCGGCATAACTCATAGCGAACACAAAACGTGGTTTTTGCATATCAGAGAGGTGAAGGCTTCGGATAAGGGATGGTACATGTGCCAAATCAATACCGACCCCATGAAGAGTCAGGTTGGATTTTTGGACGTTGTTGGTAAGCAATTATTCCAAGATAGATTTTACCAAATTATATAAAGGTCACACAAAGCAATACCTAGATACTAATTATACATCCTGCGTCGCTTTTCTCTTTCTTATATCAAGGTTTCATCTTCATCTGGCTGAACATGGATGAATGTGATACATTCTTACAGCATTCTGTTAATATAATTCTTATAATATAGACTGATTGAAAATTTCACGCATCAATAAATCAAATTCAGGCAGAGCAAAAGTTTTCTATTGCTCCCTTGTGATGAAAGTTTTAATGTCCAAAATTAACTCTAAGTCAAATAAACTATAAAATGGAACTATACTGCAGTGCACATTTAAATAAACAAATAGGAATACTAGAGTATGATAATTAACCCTATTAAAATATTTACATTATAAAAGAGGATTCATTCTCGTGACAGTGAATTCCAAAAAGGAAACTAATTAAAAATCAATTGAATATATAATAATAAATTCCTGCAGAGTAAAATCTAAAAAATTTCGACCAAAATATATGCTACTGAGTACCTACTCGCTGACGTCATTGGTGTAAACTGTCTATAATTCACAGTATCAAAATATAATTTGTAGAGTAAAATACCCAAAGTCAAGAATCATTAAAATAATCGTGACAAAAATGTTTTGATGCATATTGTTGTCAAATGTAAAATTTGTTGAAAATTTAATGTTATCGATTGAATGGTCCATTATTAGTTAACTTCACTAGATAATTTTTCTAAACAAGACAAGTACCTATGTATCTACCTAATTTGCATTGGAGTGATAAACCCATCTTTGTCATCACAGAATTTTAAGGATATACTTGGTGGGTATCAACACTATTAACAAAAACATTTCGAATGTTTGTAGATTCACTCTGTTTTTAGAGTTGTTACAAATAAAACTAGATTTGTATACTTTAAGATAAAGATAACCTAGGGTCGTGAATTCAAAGGAAAATTAAGATAACTTGTAGCCCCTTTGTGTGCAAATGAAACCACTCAAAATCCAACAAACAATAATTTTATTTAGTTTAAACAATCTTGGTTAGTTTATTTAGTGTAAACAATATAGCTTGGTTGTTCTGGTGAATCTGATACAGAATGTACCTTTCCAATCCGGAGCTCTTCAATGGTTGTTGGGGTTTCACTTTCGTGAACTGGAGCTCTTGGTGTTGTTTCCTGTTTCCAGGAAGAGGGTAGATTGCTGGGGTGACGTCACTCCAGCGGATCCAGACTCCAAACAGTGATCTTTATGTAGAGTAGGTACCCAGAAAAGAAGAAGGCAGTATCAGGTTCACCAATATTTGGAACATTAAATCCCTGAATTCTGTCAAGAGTGAGTGTCTTGCAACAGAAATTGAAGTTGAAATTTAGTATAAAATGATGGTTGTACAGACACTCCTTTCAACAGAATCAGGTATAAAAACTATTACAAGTAGAAAAATTAATATTTAAATATAAAAAAAAAAACAATAAATAATTAAAATCAATGGTAAGATAATAAAAAAATAAGGTAATAACAAGATTTAATTAGAATGCTCGTTACAATTGAGCAAAATGCTGCTTCCTTGAAAAACAGCTCTGGCAGGCAAAAAAAATACAAGCAAAAATAAGGTGAATAAAAAAAAAATAAGAAATCAAATGTCTGGATTCCTCCCCAAATAGACAAAATTCTCCCCTCGAATTAAGTTAGCTACCACAGATACTAGATAAACTTAGGGTTGAAATTAATAAAATCCAGAATGTGTCAAAATTCTTGAGATGTTTTAATAAAAACTTTTTTACTGAATTTTTGACCTGTCTGGATTTCTATTAAAAAATTACACCCTTTAGTTAAGATATTTAAGATAAGATAAGATAAGATAAGATAATTTAGGGAGTCAAGCAGAAAATGGCTGTTCAGGCCTCTGCCTGGATTCAATAAAGAATTAATGGGGATGGACTCACAAATTTGGTTTTCACCGACTCTATTTAGAGCAAATGGTCCAATTTTCCCACACTAAAAATTGATTCTGAAAGCCAGAGCAGCAGTACCTATTTAAAACCAAAACATTGAAAAATCTACAAGGGAGGATCCAGAAATTCACAGCAAAAAATTATTTAAATATAAAGTGGACTTGCCTGGCCAGAGTGTTCTTCAAGAAGAGTGCGTTTTAGAGAACCAAGCTAGCAGGAAAACGATCCTGTGATTTTTATACTTTCTGCATTCCAACCAGTTTGAACCAATCAAACAAGTACACTCAAAAGACCATATTCACTTCAAAATGAAAACACAATGAAAAGACCGCATGGAATAAACGAAAATAGATAAAAATCCACTAAAACTATTTTAATTGTTTACAAATTATAATAATTCAAATTAAGGTTATGTCAAAAATAAAAGACTGTTAATTAATTAGATCATTAAGCCAAAAATGAATATTTAAAAATCAGAAGGTAAAAAAGGACAGAAATATATCCATTTGCTAAAAGTGAGATGAATATAATTTCTTTCAAAAAAATACAAATTACTGCCAAATGCGAAATAAGAAATCATACTTTGAAATATAGATCGATCATCGGGCTCTAGATGGCAGTACTAAAAAATCAGTCTTCTCGATACTTGCACTTTACGCAAATGTAGATAGATGGCAGCACTTATATTACTTGAATTTAAATTTGAATTTAATGGATATTTTTAGAATATTAGAAATTATCTTGAATTCTGAATTGGAAAAAATACTACTTTATAATGAAAATAAAAAGAGATGGAACATGTTACGTAAATGATAAATTTATCGTAACAAAGTGTAGTCGGGTATAAAAAAGGATGGTGGAGTTCTTGAAAAATCTCTAAATGCAAAAATCAAAAAAGTCCCAGAGCATATCCGAATATGTTTAAGCATTAGGTAGTTAGGTATTAAAATATTTGATAAAACATTTCCTATACATAATTTACATCTAATTTTTATCAAGAATAAACGTCATGCTCAAGATATAAAAAGAGAAGTACCTAATTTGCATTGGACTGATGAACCCATCTTTTTCATCACATTATTTTAAGGATATACTTGGTGGGTATCAACATTATTAACAAAAACCTTTCGAATGTTTGTAGATTCATTAACTCTGTTCTTAAAGTGGAGTCGGGTATAAAAAAGTATGGTGGAGTTCTTGAAAAACCTCTAAATGCAAAAATCAAAAAAATCCCAGAGCATATCCGAATATGTTTAAGCATTAGGTAGTTAGGTATTGATATATTTCCTATACATAATTTACATCTAATTTTTATCAAGAATAAACAACACGCTGAAGATATTATATGCAAAAATAGAATGGCGTTAATGATTGGCCCGAGGTCCATAATATTTTGAGGCCCGCCAGAAAACAGTTTTTAACAAACTATACAATAGAAACTTTATACTCGCTTTATAGAGAAGAAATATAATATTTAACAGAGCTGCACATTATCCCTATCTGGGTTCTTTATGTCCGCAATAATCGGTTCAACTTATCAGTTTTATTACATTGAACTTCGTTAGTTGGGCCCTAGAGTTTTGAAGTTGCACAGCAGCAAAATAATACTTTTTGTATCTGAAACTACAACATAAGTTAACCAGGCAAGTCGAGATAGTTATAAATTGCAAGAGTCAGTTATCCAAACATCAAAGATCTGGGAGTCGGGATATTCTACTGGAACAATTAGAAAGTTTCGCGTGGAAGCTCCCTTAATTAAGATAAATCTAGAGTTGCGGATATTTGAGTAATGTAGTTAACTTTTAGTTCGATGATGAAATGATTAATGGACGACATTTCGATTAAAGAAAAGTTTTAGGAGATATTTCATTTAGATTATTATTATGTGTGGTGGTGTGAAGATGACATGGATCTCTTATTAAATCGGATTATCTAAAACTAGCAAACTTCTAAGAAGGGTATTGCTTCGGTATTTTCACAAGTAAAATACCTATTAGAAGTCACAGGAATAATAAAATAAGGTACTTAAAATATTATCGAATAAATGTAATAGATTGACTGTACCTAAAAAACTAGACAACCAAATCAAAAGTGGACACTGTGGTAAATTTTGTCTTAGGATTTTATAAGATAATTCCAAAATTGTGAACTGGCTTATAAGTGAACACTTTTATTAGAAAAAACAGTTCTGCCACCTATTGGAGAGATGTCTAACTGAATGAATGGTATCGCTCACTATTATACATATACATAGACCTGAGTGTTGTTGCTAGAATCACTGGAATTTCGACAAATTGAGTATGACATTAGCAAAATGCCGCCTAAAAAGAAAGAAAAGACTTTGGAAATGATTAAGAATACAAATGAGAATATGGATATATCACACGATCGCATCACTAACGAAATTAATAGCTACGAAGTAACAGAAGACCGTAGAACAACTTTTAATGTCTTTCTCTGGTACTTTAGCTCTGAGGAGACATTTGCTCTTGTCGACTTTCGTAAGCATGATCACTTTCGCGTGCTCACAGCATTGTGGAAAGTGATCTTATCAATAACTCAGTAGTTATTGATGTAAGTCAATTACAGCGTTTTTAGGCATCTCCTGTATCATCTTGTTGGAAATTGCTTTGCAGGCTGATATCTTTTTGACCTAAAAGCGTCTGATCCGTATTTCCTAGAAACTGACGTGTTCTCAGGCTCCTGATCCGTATCTTCATCTCGGAGTTCATCTTCATTTTTGCTGCTCTGGGTTGGACTTTTTCAAGTGCTTCAATGTCCTTAACATAATAAGGACTCCATATGCTTTGGGCATTCTCCAGCCTGGGTCTTATGTAAGCTTTCTACAGCTTCATATTTGGGGTGTGGGATATTTAAATGCCTTGGAGATCAGGTACATGTTAAAGTTTCACTTCTTTATGATTCCATTGATATGGTTTTCCCACTTCATGTCTTTAATGACAATATTTCCAAAATAATTTTGTTCAGCAACACAGACTACGTGGGTAGACCGAATGAAGTATTGCATCCTGATTCCTGGGGT